TTGTCCTGTTTCTTTTCTTCTTCAAACTGGTTTTCACCAAGGCAAACTCTTCCATTGGATTTCCAAAACTTATTTCAAACTAATCATTGTCAAAACTATTTCCAACTCAACTCTTTTAAATCTATGTCAAGCACTCTCACATATATTCTTAGACTACTAGGTTCTGCCCCTTTTGGGTGAGCCTTGCCTTGGGACCCTTGAGCTCCCTCTGAACTTGGACACATAAAAGCTGGTCTTTCCACACTGCACTTACTCTATATTGGCTATGAAATCTGGGTGTGAGCACTGTCCGGGATCCCTTGAGGTCCTTAGGGAACTCTGACACACCTAGATATGAGAAAGACTATGAAACAATCTTGGCACTTGAGGTAATTTATTACATAACTCAGGGAGGAAGTCCTAATCAGGTGCTGAAAGTCTGGGCCTGTTTCAGGCTCTCTATAGTGTAATTTTTACCTTTCTTATGTAATTCATTTCAATATTGGTCTGTAATAATTTGTAAACGACTCTGGGGTTGGATAGTGAAAAGGAGTGGGTAATACACATGCTGTAGTATAATCTAGGGTAGAAACCATATTCCTAGGTTTACTTTTTCTATGCACAATAGCAGCCATGTTTAGGTACAACATGCCAAGCATACCATGCATTAGATATCATGCTATTTAGGATTTATATGTACTGTTTTTAGCATCTCATCCACACTTTGAAATCCTGTCTATAGGGTAGATAATAACAATAAAATAAGCTGCTATTATGTGATTCTGCCCACGTAAACATATTCTGAAATTTCATTTAGAAATCCTGCCTTAGGGTAAACATGTTAACACAATTTGTTATTCATGCACTCACCATATTGCAACCATGCTCCACACTTAGAAATCCTGCTTTAGGTAAAATAACTTCCAAACTGTTTTAATAATTCTGGTCACTCCTGCATATTATTTTACGCTTAGACAAGTCTTAGGTAATCAACTTAAAATAAAACCAGAATTGTCTTTGTGATTCATGTTTAACTGTCAACGTGTCAAAATCAGTAGGCAAGCCTGATTCGGACTTCTTTTCTAAGTCATGTAATAAATCTGGTTCTACTGTTATCACTTAGATACCATGCTTTAGAATTCCGAGTTCAAACGTGGACCTTATTTGTGTATGAGTCGTGTTGTCTATGTGCACTATTTGTGGAGATGTATCTAAGCCTTCTATCTGTTTTCTATATTTTCCCCCTAAATGCGGTCCTATGTATTCTTATTTGTCGCCTAGTATTTTGCCTTTAAAAAACCTGAGGATCTGCCTAGAACCCCCTTTTTATAGGATAGTAGTCCTAAATTCCTTCGGGACTGGTAGGAATGGACAGGTAACAACATGCAATAGAGGTCGAGACCAACACTACAAAAAATTGGATTTAGCTACGAATGTCGTCGCTAAATAGCCCGTAGCTAGCAAAATTTCTTGCTAATCCATCGCTAATTTGTCGCTAAATGAGATTAGCGACGAATTTTACTGTTTAGCTACGAAATTTGTCCGTCGCTACAACCAGATTTTTTAGCAGTGCAACCTTCGCTTTAATTACCTTCACGGGTCGGGAAAGGGTAGATATGGATATGATGACCGGTGCGCTAATGCCACGTGTAGCCCCTCTTTGAGGAGTGTTATATCAGGTATTGCATTGATGTGATCCATATTATAAACAAACCTAGGACACCCCCCTTTTACATTCACGAATATGCTTAGATTGTAATTCTTTTCAAAAATCTCGCTTTTCACTAATTGTTTTTCAAACACTTGTGTATTTAAGTTTAAATCCCCTACTATTTGAGCCATACTTGTTTATTTGCTACTTGTACTTCACAAAAACTGTTTGGCCGGGAACCACACTAGTGGATCCTGAGGGGTGCCTAACACCTTCCCCTTAGGATAATTTCAAGCCCTTACCCTATCTCTGGTTACCAAACGTAGTTATAAATGAACCCCATAGGTGTCCTAACGCACCTTAAATCGTAGGTGGCGACTCTTCAAAAATGCAAACCCTTTTTTCAAAAGGAAAGAGTTGTCCCAACCAAAAATGTCATAAATCCAATTTCGCGATGACAAAGGGGGCACGACATCGACCATTAATAAATTTGACAGTAATGAAATAAGATCTTTTTAAAAGAGGACGTGATGTTCGTGCTCTATCTTAAAACATTTCTTTATAATTTTTAGGTATAAATTGAATTTTCATGGTTTCACCAACATATAATATCAACATATACAATTAGTATTCATTACTGCATACTACTTATGGTAGAGAGCGCTTCCACATTAATAGGTCTTACTTGAATTCAAATTAATTTGATGCCCCAATGCAGATAACGGACATCAATAAAATTATAAAAATCAAAAAACAAAAGATAAAGTTCAGGGCCGTTGATATTTTTCTTAATCTCCATATACTCATAAGCTTCACCTCGAAACTCAAACGTGCAGAACTAATTAGAGGCGGGCATCGGTCGGTTCGATTCGGTTGTGAATATTATCGGTTTGACATATCGGTTAACGGTTTATAAGTATGCAAAATCGATAAGCGAACTGATAAGAAATTGGTTATCGGTTATCGGTTAATCGGTTATCAACCGTTATCGGTTTACCCGATAAAATAACTCAATCTAGATCAAAACTTCTTCAGAAGCTCGCAACTAAAGATTTTCTTAATGTGTTAGCCCTTTAAACATAAGATGTCAAAATGTAGCTAATTAGGAGTGGAACAACAAACAACAAATAACCACAACCATAGGATAAACAACAAACAACAAGTCCTAGATGTATGTATATACTTAAGGATAAAGTCGTAGTTTTATTAATTCTTATTAGGTTATTGGTTAACCCATTAAGAAAATTGGCAAACTGAGGCCCGAACCGATAACTTAATAATGAAAAAATTCTGGGAAATTTGCATCTATACACACTTTTTGGGTCACGTTTTAATTTGTGCCCGCTTTGCAAAAAAAATTGCAAGCGTACCTACTTTTTTCGCATAACTTCAGTATACAAAGTTGAAATAGCAAAGGCAATCACGCAAAGCTTCAGCATTCTACTAGACAGGCCTGAAGTAGCAAAGGCAGTGCTGAAGTTTTTTTGTCCTGGATAAGATGCTGAAGTTATTTAGTTCATTTGTAAAAACTTCAGCACTAAAATAGCTGAAGTTTTTTTTTGTCCTGAATTCATTAGTTTTGTTATAAAGCTTTTTCAAAACTTCAGCAGAAGATGCTGAAGTTATTTAGTTCATTTGTAAAAACTTCAGCACTAAATAAGCTGAAGTTTTTTTTGTCTTGGATAAGCTTTTTCAAAAACTTCAGCAGAAGATGCTGAAGTTATTTAGTTCATTTGTAAAAATTTCAGCACTATATAAGCTGAAGTTGAATCCATAAGACCATAAGCAAAAACTTGAATCCCAGTATTTCCAAGTGAAGCAGCAGCCAACTCAAGATGAAAAAGGAGACAATAATTACATGCGACTAAAATACAAGTTTAATACCAGTTCAATATCTTTCCATGAATCTGACAGAATTAGTTTATTCAAAATAAGAAGTAATGGGTCAGTTTCCATATAGTTCATCATAAATGTAAAATAGTATTGCGAGAGATTAAAAAATATACGGATTATTTGTCTGCTTGCCTAGTCGAGGTAGAAAGTTATATTCTTTTATTATTTGTTGTTTGATTTCTTTGTTCAGGTTGCACTAAAAGCGAAATTAATCATAGTGCCTTTCAGTTGTTAATAGAAGAAGAAGAAAACGAAGGAGGAGGAGAAATGGACTGAAGTTGTTTAAAAACTGAGTACAAATAATGAGTATAGGTTAAATAGGGGAGACCAAATAGGGCGCCCTGTGCAATTTTTACAAAAATTCTAAACCGTTACCGAACTGTTAACCCAATAACCCGATATCGATAATCCAATAAGCTTTTATCCGATATATGTCCGGCCCTAGAACTAATCTTCAAGAATAGTTAAAAGAAAATCACTATTCAAGATTCAAGTTTTTTTTTGAATAAGACAATTAAAATATTCAGTTAGTATATTCTTCCCTCATCGTAGGCATAAAGGTTTTGGGAACATATCCCTCTGTCCTTAAATTTATCTGTCTTTTCAGTTAGTATATTATATTCTTCCATCATAGTTGGCATTTTTGTAAACCAACTTGCATCTAATAGAATTATTGTTCTTGAGAGTTGAAACTTCCACAAAAATGATAAAATACGACTGCTCCAAGTTTCTCGAAAACTTTTTTAGAAATATTAAGTTTACTATTCTGCAAGCTAAGATTAAAAATGATTTTTCTAATAAGACTTTTCAAAAGTGAAAGTTCTACAAATTTAAATTTTTATTAAAAGAAATTTCAAAAGAAATGACTTAATTAACTAAGATAATATTTACTCCATTCACTTTTACTTATCCATTATTGATTTTCCGCACCCTTAAGAAATATAATAAATAAAGTACATAATTTACTATAATACCCATATTAATTGGTGTATATTCTTAATGGATTTGGAATGAGTAATCAATGTTAAGAGCAAAATAAAAAATAAAAAAATTATTTTTCTATTGTTATACGAAAAGTAACAAGTAAAAATAAAAATATATTTTTAGAATACTTGACAACTAAAAGTGAACGGATGGAGTAGTATTTAAGCTTATTGTTCTTTTTTATAGCATTTGTAACCTTAATTATGTCTGCTCTTGACTTCATAGAAATTATGAAGTCTTTGCTTGCATTAGAACGACAAAGATGAAGTCAAGGGCTTAGTATTTAATATTCTAGTGCATGTTTTGAAGTAAAAACAAAAGAAAGAACTAAAAAAGACTTTTACAACTTCCATGAAATTAGATATCTTTGCGTATTTAAATTTCCCAACTCTCCTCCATATTTGACTTCCATTCTTCATCTTCTCNCCCCCCCAAAAAAAAAAATCATTTTTTTCTATATTCTTTTTTTTTAAGAGAGGAAATATAGTTTATATTTTTTTCTTCAAAAAAACCCATTTAAAGATCTTCATCACCTTAGTCTCTTCTCTTTCTCTATTATTTTCTCCCTTAACTTCTCCAAGAAATCCTCAATCCAACCAACTTCTCTCTCTTACCTTTTCTAAAAAGATTCTTTTTAAAAAAAAATCAAAAACCCATTTTTATCTATTAAGCTTTCACAAGAAAAACACCCCTTTTAGTTCTTTTTATTTTGTTTTTCAAGAAATGAAGTGATTTAGGTTTTCAATCAAAAACCCAACTTAGATCTTCATTACCTTATTCTCTCCTCTCTCCTTTCTTTATTATTTTCTTCCCTAAACTTCTCCAAGAAAACCTCAAAAGGTCCTTTTTATGTTTGTTTCAATGAAATGGAGAGATTTAGGTTTTAATAAAAAAAAACCAACTTAGATCTTCATAACCTTATTCTTCCCTCTCCTATCTTTATTATTTTCCTCCCTAAACTTTGATCTATTAAGCTTTCACAACAAAAAACACAGCTATATATATATTGTCCAAATTACAAAAGAAATGCCCATGGAACGTTCAAACTCATCCAGAAGCACAAACTCTTCATTCTCAACAACATCAAGAGTAAGTTCTTCATCTTCAGTTTTATCTATACAATGCTTAAAAGGAAGCTCAAAATCCGATGAATGGACCGAAAACATGCTACAAACGGGCGATATTGTGGAGTCGCTTCGGTTAGGGAACATGATTCTCAAATCACCATTCAAGAATGGAAAAAATGGGATTCAAAAGATCATGCATACTTCTTTTAAAGCTAAGGAGACTTCAATATGTGTCCGAGTTCGACGTGGATCTGATGAGTCATTCACCGAGTTACAGGTACTGAAATCGCAGTACTTCTGCCTGCTTTGATATCATATTAGGAAAAATATGATTTTAATTATATTATGTCTCGACAGGCATGTATCGTTCCGAACGAGTTTGCCGGAAGGAAACAGTATATGCTTAGGGCTATTGATGATCCAAACTATGCCGTTGGTTTTGTTGATCGGACAGAAATGGAGTGTTTGGAATTACAAGGTACGAATTTATGGTTGACTTTTCTTTGTTTTTGACTTTTTGGTTCTTTTCTACAGTAGTAGTTTGATTACTATTCCTTCGACGTTTGCTGATACAACTTGCTTTGTTTCACACGTTTTAGTAGACTTTGTCTGCCTATTTTGCATTTATTTTGAAATATTTCTATCTTTTTTTAAAGAAAAGCTAAAAATAGGATTAATGAGCATTATCTTTGCATTCGAGAATCGATTTAACTCGTATTTTTCTAGTTGTGTTATGTAATGAGACAGAATTCTTTTTCTTTTTCTAAGTTTTGGTGAATAAAATTATCTGATATTTAGAAAGTAATATTTACTTGATAGTGTCATATATATAAGATTTAAGATGATAACTAAGCAAATTATCTCACGTATTGAGAAATTCGGAAATACGTGAGATATAACTCAAAATGATTAAATTTGGAGATCTTTGACTGTTTTCCGAATTGTGCTATCGATTTTTGACAAAATTATAGGAGTAACTCCGTAACATAAAACATCTTATTATCTGAATTATTGTATATTTTGTATTCCTAAAAACATCTTATTATTGACTGAATTATTGTATATATTTTGTATATTTTTATCAAAACCAAACTAAAACAACTATATGAGTTTGGATTGGTTTGTCTTTGTCGGGTTTATAGGATTTTTTGCTACATGAATATTATTTCAATATTACTTTGTTGAAGTTTTGATAAGTAAAAATATGTTTACTAAAAATTTAAAAAACAAACAAACATATGATCTATTACAAAATTCTTATGCATGGGAGAACTTTTTTTTTAGTAACACATGATATTTACTTTTTAGTTGTCTAAGAATAATTTTTCGTTGATGTACATTTCAAGATTAGCTGAATTTAATAAAACATAAAATTAATATGATACCTAAATAATGATATGTTCTATTTAATTTGATATTATGAAAATACCATTCAAATTCGAAAAAAAATATAAAAATTTAATAGATCTGATATATATATGAATCTGGAAGAACAAAGAGATTGGCGCATTTCAATAACACTTGATAAGAGAGTGATGATATAATCCATTAATTAAAGTAAGTCAAAATGGAATATTTTATATTCTATTAAGTATTACATCACTTAAGAAATTCCAAATATTTCTAGATATTTTTTAAAGAAAATTCTATATAAAGTCTTAAATGTATATATAAAAATTATATATTTATATGTCAGTTTGGTTTGAATTTTTTTATTCAATACCAAATCAAATCAAACCAAACCTAAATCGAATTTTTTTATCTGCTTGATTTGACTTTTTGATTTGGTGTGATTTTCCGGTTCGGTTTGTACACCCTACCTAAGATATAGGAGTTGTTGACTTTAGTTTGACGAACTACCAGAAATTGAGAAATTTTATTTCAGCAAAAGAAAGAACTTGTTCATCATTATTATGTTCTTTATTGAATAATATACCATTTCTCAAGAAAATTAATTTCGTCTTACTTAGGTCAAATGTTCATATTATGTCGAAACTTGGAATTCAAATAGAAAGACAATGTAAAACACATTACTTAAGGATTCAATTTAGTTATATCCATCGATAGTGTAATTTTTTTTAATTATTAATGAAATTTAAGCTGTTGTAAATAGTCAATCGTGTAATTTTTCTGACTACTAATAATTCCAATTGTTATGTATTAGTTGTAATTGTTCTTTAAAAGACTATCAATATATAAAAGTTAAACGCTCCATTAAATTGCTGAATATATATGAAGCATTTATTTTTCTTAAAAAATATCCAAGAATATGCGCGCAAGCTAGCCGGACTACGGTTATAAAAAAATAAAAATCCAAGAATATGCCGTATGCAATGATATATCTTGCACTTAATTATCTTATCTTCTGATACATGTTCTATATCTTTAATCTTAGAATTAGTTGTTGAATGTTTTCTTATAACACAAGCTACAAATATCTTGTCTACCATTTCGAAAATTGAAAATGAACAAACTTGTGAGAATACACAAAGTTTTCAAATGTTTGACAAAGTTATTTAAAAATCCAAGTTGGAATTAATTAATCCGATATCATTTTCAAGGCCTTTTCTTTTTGTTGGTAAGTTATATATATTTTTCAGAAAATATTATAATTATGGTTGTTGTCATGCATGCCCTTTGACTAGGTATTTGTCTAACCTCTCAACGATTTTTTTTTTTAAATTTTGTAATTGATATCTTGTCACATTGACAAAGATATATGCATTAAACCAGCTTTGTCTACATGGTCTGTCCAAGGGTCCAAATTTGATAGCTAACTAATAGCTTCAAAATCAGATTAAATAATGGAANTATATATATATATATATAGTGCGAGTAAATTTAGTGGGAGTGGAGGGGCTATGATGTGTCCAAAGAACTAAGCACACCAATTCTGACAGTGATCAGTATTTATATGATATGATTTGCAAATAGTTCGTAGAAAATTATACAAGTTTATTTTAGTGCCATTATTAGACCAACTGTTTAACTAAGGGGGCCAGCTTAATAATTTTAAAGGGTTATTTTACAAACTTTAATCGGATATATCTAAGATTAGGATATTAAAATTCTCAAATGGATTCATCAATGAGAATTTATATCTTTTATTTGGAAGCAAAAGTTGTTGCTAAAGTCATAATCAAGGACAAGTTAATCAAGGGAAAAAGGGAGAAAAAGGTTATAAGTCGCAATAATTATTTGTGAATATTGCACACGAAATTATTCACAACTAAAAAAGGATAGCTCGGTGCACAAAGCATCCCGCATTCATGCAGCGTCCTAGAAAGGGCCGCACCCCAAACAGGGGCGAAGCTACACTTTGGTACTAAGTTGCTCCGACATGACAGTTTAGGTGCCGTACCCATGTCGATACGACACTAGTATGAGTGTGTGTATAGGATCCGTACCGGATTTGGTCAAATAATTTTGGGTACTTTGACCTCAACGGACGAAAAAATTCGAGACGATACACAATTTAATTCCCGAAATCAAAACCAATACTAGGATAAATTTGAATAAAATAGCATATCTTATCTAGGAAATCAATCCTTTACTTATTTGAAACTTGAGAATAAAAAGAAAATCACACTTTATAATGTAAAAATTGCACGGGTCCATTTAACCTATATTCATTTTTTTAAAACTTTTAATTTATATCCACTTGGCAATCATCACGTAAGAACAACTGGGCTCTCTACTTCATATTTATGGCAATCATCCCATGAACTGAAGTTCCATAGCAGCACCAACAGCAGAAGTAGGGAGCCCAATTATTCTTATGTGAAATTTTTCCTATTTTATCTGCTTTGGATTGGATTGTGCATAGATAGATTTGTTAGATGATAACAATGGGGCCGTTCGACAGTCCTTCCATTCTAAGCAAATTTATCGAAAAGTTTCTGAAACCAAGATGATGGTTTGTAGGAAACAACAGTTGGCGATAAGCACCATGGAGTTTATGAAACCATTTCTAGTTTTCTTTTTCCCTTTAGAGTACGACTTTATTCTTCTTGTTTTTAGTGTGCTGCTTTACTTGGACTTGCCAAAAGAAATGGTGCTTCTATCTGCTTTGGATGGGATTGAACATGCTGAAGTTAATCAAATATAGAACAAAAACTTCAGCTCTAGAAGTTCCTCAGTTACAAAACAAAAACTTCAGCTCTAGAGCTGAAATTCGCCAGCTACAAATAAAAACTTCAGTTCTAGAGCTGAAATTCGCCAGCTACAAACAAAAACTTCAGTTCTAGAGCTGAAGTTCGCCAGTTACAAAACAAAAACTTCAGCTCTAGAGCTGAAGTTCGCCAGTTACAAATTCGCCAGTTACAAAACAAAAACTTCAGTTCTAGAGCTGAACTTCAGGCCCGACTACTAGAATGCTGAAGTTTTGCGTGATTGCCTTTGCTACTTCAGCCCTGTATGCTGAAGTTATGCGAAAAAGCGGGCACGCTTATAATTTTTTTTTGCAAAGCGGGCACAAGTTAAAACATGACACAAAAAGCGGGTATAGATGCAAATGCCCCCTTTATAAGCTATACATAAGTATTCCATAAAATTTTTCATAATTTAGTGATATTTTTTATATTTTTATTTTTTAGAATTATTTTTAGCCGGATCCCCGCACCCGTATTTATACTAGGATTCGTATCCCCGAATCTTAGAATTTACACCTCGAAGGATCCGACTTCTAGATTTGCACTCATTTCGAACACTTGAACCCGTGTGCGAGCAACTTACCTTTGGTAAGGGTGGTCAATTGATCACCCTTTGTCGGAAAATTATACTGCATATATAGATAAAATATCAGGTTTTAGAGGTACATAATATATTGAACACCCTTTGTTAGTTTTTTTTTTTACTTCTTTCAAGTTTGAACATCCTTGTGAAAATTCCTGGCTTCGCCATTGACCCCAAGGGGTGTGATGTAGACAACCTACCCTAATACAAACATTAATGATTGCTACCATGGCTCGAATCCGTAACTTATACCCACACGGAGATAACTTTACCGTTGCAATACTCTAACTAATATACAAATGTTATTATATAAATGCAGCTTCAAGGAAATCAAGAATGGTGACAGCATTAACAAGGACTCCACTTCAAGAAGGATATGTTAGTTATCCATGGGAGAAGAGAATGAATGAGTTGCTAGCAGTTCCAAATTCAAGTAGTTTTTACTCTCTGCTTCTCTTGCCAAAAGCCTCAGACAAAGTTTCTATTCATTACAATGATTTAGAAGACACTCTTTCTCGAGCAAATGCTTGGCTTAATGCTTCTCAAGCTTCTGGTGTTCCCATTGTGTTCATGAATATCCAGACTGAGTCTCTACTTACCAAGGTAAATATTCATATGTTCTTTATTTGGGTTTAACTTCTATACACCATCAGTTTTACAAGAACTTTAACACAATAAAAAAAGATAGCACGTAGGGTTAGGGGAAGGGCAGTACCCCAAGAGATGTGATGTAGACAGCCTACCCTAATGCAAGCATTAGTAGTTTCTTCCACTGCTCGAACCGTGAACAATATAATTTTACCGTTGCGCTAATGTTCCCCTTCAACTTTAACACTATCAGATCACCTTTACTATAGTACGATCCATAAGAAATAAGATTAGTAACCTGAGAAATAAGTCAAGTTATAATATATATAGTGATATTGGTAAAAATTCTTTACACTGAATCTAATATACACTGATAATGTAAAGTTTTTACACCATCAGTGCATTTTAACCCTTTCTAGCAGGGACCTTTTCTTATATGCACCGACAATGTAAACGATTTTTGCACTATTGGTATATTCTAACCAATCATAGCAGGAAATCACTTTTACAGGTCACAAATCCTATTATGTACGGACTATTCACATATAGTTACATTTAAGTGACCTGTAAAAATTTCTATACAAGTTAAACTCTTACCAAATATGCACATTCCTATAGAATACATACTGGTAGTTGAGTCCATATAAGATGTAACATAGCTCTAAAGTTCTCATAATATTGATGTTTAATACTTTGCTACAAATGTGAAATACAATAATTTTCTATGTAAAATCAACTAATGACAAATAACTTTCTTCTTTTCTGTTTTCCTCTTAGATATCAGGGGAGACAGCTTCTTGCACAGTAAATGCAGGATCACTTTCTGATTTAACAAACCTTGCAAATGCAAGTTTATATGGCTTTGAAGATTACCATGGAGTTGATATTGGTGTTGTCCGAGCAGTTCGTCTTTGGTTTTCCCCTCTTGGTGGAGAAATTCCTATTGAGATCAAAATCAAAGAAACTGATGTCAAACTTGGCTTTGCCATCAGCAGAACTGAAGAGGTAAAGTTACTTCCATTTTCCATCACTTATTACAAACTTCTTAGTTTTGAGTCGTTGTGTTAGGACAATACAACTACGAGAACTGGTCGTCCTAATGCTACAGTCAAACCTATTGTAGTTGTCCTTATTACCACTTTTTGAGTGGTTGCGTCAGGGGAGTACAACTACGAGGTTGTCCTAATGCTGCAGTAGGTCAAACCTTAGTTGTCTTTAGTACCATTTTTTGAGTCAGTTGTGTTAGAGCTATACAACTACGAGAATTGGTCGTCCTAACGCTACAGCCAAAAATATAGTTATATATAATAGTTAAATTGACTGTATGCAGACCTTGCCCCTACCTTATTAAGGTTGAGAGACTGTTAAATAAGAATTTTTATATTGTCACTGGGGTGGAGAGGATAGTGTGTACGATTGACTGTATGCAGACCTTGCCCCTACCTTATTAAGGTTGAGAGACTGTTTCCATATATAATAGTTAAATTCTGATATAAATAATAATTAGTCTGGTTCAAAATTAGAACATATACATAGATTCACATGACATTTGCTTTATGTGAAACTTCACTGAACCATATTAAGTTTCTACTTTTTGCTCTTCATATTCTTCTTCTTATTTATTGACTAATTTTTTTTTAATATTCTATAGGGCTTCATTCACATATCATCAGTCATTGAAGGTGATGAGGATACACCATCCTCAAGATCAGGCCTTATCAATCTATACAAAGAAGCAGCCAAAGAGTGCAAGCTTTTAGTTGTATCAAGAATATCCAACCAAAAGGTCCTTCCATGGATTGTTTCTCCGACAGGGGCGGTCCGATGCTTCGACACTGTCTCTCTCAGCCAAAAACTCTCGTTGCATCGCCACGCAAAGGTTCCCATTCTCATGCACGTGTTTCTTTGGGACCGATCAGTCCCAGTGCCAGGCGGTGGCACCTTTACTCGGTCAAGGAATATTTCCCCGACCATGCTGCCACCGTTGCCACCTGAAGTTCGGTTGGCACGCCAACCGAATGAGAATCAGGTGATGCCATTGCCTCCAGAAGTTGAAGATGAGAGAGGAAGCCATAGTGATGGATCAGAGCTAAGGCTTGACAGGGACACTGCAGGGGAATCTTCTTTTCGTTTCCATGATTTTTCTCTACCAAATAATTGGGTGTAGTAAGTTTCTATTCATGTTATTTGATGTACATAGGGAAGTTATTAATTAATGATGTAACATTGAGAAGGCAATGCTTGAGTCAAGGATGTTGGACTTAATTAAAAGCTAACATCTGACACAAAACAGATAGATGTAAATGTTTTATGAGTTATTGAGGCTTTGTTGGTATAGTAGACCAGTTATTGCAAGTCCACAACAGTCATGTTTTGCAAAATTTGACCTGAATTGTGTTTCCAGATATTGACCAGTTATGAGCCCAACTATCAAGTTATTGTTCGCTTTGGTCAATCTTGGGAGCCTCGCCTCGTGGTTTTGTTTCCTTTGATATTAACTTAAAAGGCGTCTCGATAGTTGAATTCCTAATTCTGTCTTATATATATGACCCCTAAAGCCCTAACTTACCCTTCCCAGTCCGATATGAGTTTGTCTAAGCAAAGCTTCACAGCAAATCACCTTTCGAGTTCAATCACCAGCGGTTTGAGGACCATTAGAAACACCTATCCTCGCTGAGGTTTCCCCCACCACCTTATTAGGAAAGGTATCGACTCTGATACTGAATGAGAAGGCAATGCAGGAATCAAAGATGCTAGGACTTCAATGAAAGCTAACCTCTGATACAAAGCAGATAAATTTAAATGTTCTTGAGCCATTGCAAAATTCACCAGATTATTAACAGATTTTGGGCATAATTGAGATGAATACTGCAAAGGACAATGCTGTTTTAGGTGTAGAACAACAAAATTGCTGGAATTTCACCTAGCTAAGGACCTCACTGAACAAAGAAGGAAAAAACCAGCTGAATTACTCAAACAGGCCAAAGAGCAAATCGAGTATAAGCGGCCGGCCCAATCCTGGAGGTCCGAAACCGCACTGGGGTAGGTTGCTACGGCTAAAAAAGCAAGAGAAATAGAGTTAGATGCTTAGAGAAATATTGTCAAAGAGAAGCAAAGGAAGACCCGACAACACGTTTACTTACGCCCCGCGTTCCACCTGTAGACATGTGATTTTTGCCCTTCCCCAAGATTTTTTATATTTTAGCGTAAAATATTTAATTTAGGCCTAATATAGCTATTTCAACTCATTTTTACTCTTTTACTTTATTTTATTACAAGAAAAATGAAAATTACAAAAAATATTTTAGTATGTATCTTTCAAAAAAAAAATACAAAAATAGAACCATATTTTCATCTTTATATAATTTTGAAAATAAAAAAATATATAATAGTTTCATGTTAGCTTTTGCATGGGGTAGTATTTTTTATCTTACTTTAAAATGAGTCAATTAAGGTGTTGGATCATAATTTTAAGAGTTTTAGAATCCAATTCTTGGCCCAATTCGAATTAGTCCATTAAGCCTAGGTGGAACAAAAACAAATAAAGAAGACTCTAAGGACTTAACACAAAAGACCTAGGGACTAATGAGCAAAATACACAAAAATACACCTAAACCTAGACTCCACCTATAAATTAATGCTTAAAAAAATCAAAAGGTGGAAAGAAGAACGCTAAAAAGGACTGGAAAAAGGCTGCGCCAAAAGGGAACGACCCCCACCCCCGTCTCCGTCTTCTCCAAACGACCCCCAGCGTTGCATCAGTTTCTTCAACATTAGAAGCACCAGGCGACCCCATTTTCGACCCAACCTTGAAGCCTAAGACACTAAAAAATCAAGCAGCTGAACAACAGGACCCCTCCCCCCTTCGGATTGTCTTCTTCGACTCCCTCGTTTGTTCATTTCTTCAGCAACAAGGACCGAAAAACAGAGACCATTTGGTTGTTCTTCTTCTTCAACCTATAGAGAACTATAATGCCTGGACCTAGACAGAAGTAGCCAAGCTTCATCACCTTCAGCCGTGCTTCATCACCTTCAATCGTCTCCCTGAAAATAAACAAGCATCTTCATCTTCCTTGAGCAGCGACCACGGACAGGACCTAGCGGAAAACAGATAAGACGAAGACGAAAATAGGGATACAACTTCACCCCTCCAAATCCCTCTCGCTCCTTCGTCTTTTCCGCCTCACCTCTATATCCGACGAGCCTCGCCGGAAGCCGGTTAGTACGCCATCTGTCATTCGAGTCTGTCGATTCCAATCGAGGCTCCGCTCGTCGTTCTTTGTTCGTTTCCGGATCTGTTCGTTTCCAACTGAGCCAATCTTTTGTAAGTTATTCGAATATAACTGTTACATCTACTTCTTTCATTGTTGTCTATGTCATTTTTAGACCATGCATCTGGTGTATGATATTATAACGACTGGTTAGGCCGTCTGTTTGTTGAAAATGAGAATCATGGCTGATTGTTGCATTTTGAAATTTCAAAGGATACCTTGTCTTCATAATACGTATTTGAACTCTCTGAAAGTAAAAGGCTTGAAATAATAAAGACTTACTACTTAATTCAAAGGAGTCACCTATCACCCGTTTTTTTAAAAAAGAAATTGTGCTTATGCTAGTAACTAGGCGAATTTTGTATTATTATTGGATATTCAAGGCTGGAAGCTAGTGAGTTTTGGAGTGTCATTGATTAATTTGGTGATATGATCCCATTGTTTGTGTAGTTATTTTTCATAGTTTTGAATTTGCTCATTTAATTATCTATTCATATGCTTGCTCGAATTGGTTATAGTTGAACATGATTTTGTCACAGTACGAAAATTGGGTTGCTAATCATGAACTGAACTACATCAAATTAGATAAAAGGACTCGGGTGCACATTTATGTGACCCAAATCCAAATCTCAACCATGTTAAAATATATCAAAGACCACAGGTGCATTTATGTGACGTGGTTCAAGACGTGTTTTAATAACGTTGTCATCTTCCTAAAAATGAATAAACGCGGTTAAGGTTGAAAATGCACATAGGTTTAAACATGTACTAAAATCAGATAATTAAGTCGAATATAAAAGTTGAGCGACCGTGCTAAAACCACGAAACTCGGGAATGCCTAACACCTTCTCCCGGGTTAGCAGAATTCCTTACTCGGATTTCTGGTTCGCGGACTGTAATACAGAGTCAATCTTTTCCTCGATTCGGGATTTGAACCGGTGACTTGGGACACCATAAATTATCCCAAGTGGCGACTCTGAATTTTTAATAAATAATCGCGTTTCGATTGTCACTTTAAGTTGGAAAAAACTCTTTTATACTCCATTCTGGGGTGTAGGTGAAAAAGGAGGTGTGACAGCTCTGGCGACTCTGGTGGGGATCGAACCCAGAATCTCTGGTTCAGGGTTCAGAATTCGAGCTTAGAATAATTGTTGTATTTGGCTTTATTTATTATCTGATTTTATTCATATGTTTGGGCCTAATGTGCTAAGTGCTACTTTTTACCGCTTTGATATTATCTGAACAGTATATAAACTGCTACGAAACCCTTCTTTTCTCATCTTCGAAGATGTGCTCGATGGTCGAGACTCCTTATTCTGTTAGTGTCATATCTTGAAATAAGAAAGATGCTCGGATAAGTTACTAAGCTGGATGGCCTTTTGGTTCCCGGTACGTAGCCCCCTCCTCGGCTCGAGTTGTCCGCTCGAGTACACAAGTCTAGAACAAATACCCAGGTTTTGAACCTAGAATAACTCAGCGTCATGCCGGATCCCTAGTAGGAACGCTTGTTTGCATCATGTGCACTTGAATTAGGGGACTCAACATAGGGGTTGGGTCCGTCTAGGACAGGTATACCCCAAAAAATAAAAGACCATCCTGATGCATCTTATGTGCTACATGTTGCATTTATTCAAGGGTAAAAGGGTCATTTGGCGGACCAATGATAGCTGAGGGTAAATGAAGAAATGAAAAAAAAACAATGAAAAAAGAAAAAAGAAAGNAGGGCAAATGAAAAAATGAAAAAAGAAAAAGAAAAAGAGAGGGTGAAGTGTGAAGATAAAGCGAGTGGGGCCTAATTATGTTTTCTGTTACATTTTGTTAAGAGAAGAAAAAGAGAGCTTGGAAAATTCAAAAGATTTTTGTACTTTTTCATCATTTTTCAAAAATCAAAAATCAAAAAAGGGAAAAAAGAAGAAAAAAAAAAGAGTTTACATGTTTCATCATTTTTCAAAAAAAAAGGAGAAAGAAAAAAAAACATATTTTCTCTAAATTAGTTGTTATTTTTATTTCTCGCCCGTATCCTATCTGCCCGAACTACGCATACCTGATTCTCGTCTTTCGGGACGTGATAAGTAGGCAACTCACATAGGGTCCGGTCTTCCTAGTAAATCTTAGGTTCTTGGCTTTGCGGGCTCATAACCAAATTTTGCACTTCTAGCCACCTTTTGACCAAATAAGCCATTTTGCAAAAATAGACTCAATCATGTCTTGCATGTGTATTAGGGAATGTTATTGTCTCACATAGTGCTAGTTTAAGTTTTCTCATACAGGTGTGGATCTACTTACTGGAGTTTGAGCATGACAGATACCCCAGGATCACTGCATTCAGGAGCTGCTCGAGGAGCCATTTTATGTTTTTGAGTCAATTGTTTTTGTTTTATTTTCTAGTCCTGTATAGTAGTATTTAGTTGTTTAGGTGATGTTAGAGTTTGTATTGTCTAGTTAAGTTTGCATAGTCTTTTGTTATTGCATTTCTTATTTTGCATTTGGAAATGTGTTACAAGTCCAAAATCCAAAAAAAAGGGGAATTCTGTGTTTTTATATTTTCGTTATAAGTTTTCTTTAGAATACTAATTCTAGAAATAAAAAAAAATTCCTTTGAGATTGTTTTTCCTTTAGGCAATTAATATCAAAATAAAAATTATTTTTATATTTCCTTTGCTATATTGGGACCAAAATTCAAAAAAGAAAAAGAGAATTTTCTTTTAGTACCTCTTTAAAAGTTTTCTTTAAGGTATTAATTCTAAAATCCAAAAAGATTTTCTGTGAGGCGTTTCTTTGGGAAATTAGTGAAAAATGGGGAAAATTTTTTTCCTTTTCTTTTTGTTAGAACTTTAGGATATTGTACATAAAAAAAATATACTAGTCTTTTGTCTATCATTAGAATTTTTCCTTTAGGCAATCAAAATTGAAATCCAAAAATATTTTGTTTTATTTTGTTTATTGCTTGTTTCGAAATCTTGCGTCAGGTGAAAATTCAAATACTTTTCTGTGGTTTGTTCTTTAGATTTTCTTCATAAAAAAATGAATAAAAAAGGGGTTTTTCTCTTCTAGGATTTTCCTTAATAGTTTATTTGTTTTAAAAAAACATG